TTTCTTTTTAACCAAGATGAATGGGCTAGAGAAAGAGCTTTGACTGACCCGTATGATGCCAGATTGCAACATCTCAGCTACTTGTCGTGTTATTTCCTCTTTGTGAGCATGAGGGTATCGATAAGGGCGCACACAAATGGGCCTCTGCCCCTCCGATAGAACAATCTTATGTTCAATGGCTCGAATTGGGGGTAGCCCTTGGGGGTTTTGGAAAAGAGAGGTATAAGAGGAAATTAAATCGTCCAATTGTTGTTGCTGAGTTGAACTCAAAATTGAATGCTCACAGGAGTCAACACTGAGACTGACCAAATGATTGTCTAGGCATTTTCGTAAAGAAGCTTGATCAGTTAGTGGGGAATTTATACCTTTAAGACGAATTTGTTCACCTTGTTGCCAGAATTTGACCTCATGAGTTTGCTAATTGAATAGAACATCCCCCAAACGGCGCAACCAAGCGATTCCAAGAATGAAATCCAATGGACCGAGATCATACACAAGGGCATCGACATTACAGATGAAGGAACCAAAATTCAAAGAAACATTTTTGCATTGATGGGTGACCCAAACTCGATTTCCATCCCCCAATCTTATACCAAGAGGTCCGACAACATGGAGTTCCAGACCCAGGGCTCGGGCCAACTTATTGGAGATGAAGTTGTGGGCAGCGCCACTATCGATGAGAATAAGAGCAGGGAAGCCATGGATTTCCCCCAAAACTTTTAGTGTTTTAAGGTAAGTGGATGAAGAATCAATAGTAACCCCACAAAGCTCTAGAGATTGGCATTCGCCATCCACAGGGGCGTCGTCATGAGCTTCAATTTCAAGCAATTTCACCTCCCCGTCATCGGAGATTTCATCGCCGTCTGCTAGAAGCATGATGCACAGTTGACCAGCATAACATTTGTGTTGGGGAGTGTATTTCTGGCCACAGCCGAAACATAGACCCAATCGGCGTCTCTCTTCCCACTCCGATTTGGATAAGTGTCGGGTATGGGTAAATGTAGGAGTGGGATGGGCTTTAGTCATAAGTAGGTTTTGAGGTGTGTTGGGCTTAGATGGGATAGTGGACCGGGTGGAGTCTAATTTAGGGTAGAAATTCTTGCCTGTAGACGGTGAAGAATACGTGTACCCGGATTGGGATGTCGATCGGAATTTACTCGTTTTCTCCGTTGGACAAGAAGTAGCGATGGCAACATGTCTGGCATAATCCATAGCCTGATCACAGGAATCGAGGTTTAGAGCACGTACCCAATTGCGGATCTCATCCTGTAGACCACGTAAAAACATGCCAATAGCTTGTTCCTCCGACTGATCGGGAATTAGGGCAGAGATGGCTTCAAAGTCTTCAATGTAATCATTGACAGATCCCTCCTGGAACAATGAGCCAAGGGCTTCATGGGCATTTCGGAACTTAGTACCGCTGAAGCGGACCATCAATTTGTCACGAAATTAAGGCCAGTCTGTGAACGGGTGTTTGATCATTTGATTGGTGTACCAGTTGAGAGCGATTCCTTCCATACACATCTGGGCGAGCTGCAACTTCTGAGATGTAGGGATCTGGTTCACTGTGAAATACAGTTCAGCCTTTGTAATCCATCCTTTAGGGTCGATGCCTTCAAATTGTGGGAGTTTCACCTTTGGCAAGGAGAATAGGGAACTGTCGAAATGATTTTCATGGATGATAGGATGGAGGAAGGAGGAGCTAGAAGACTTGTTAGTCGGGATGATGGTGGATTTCGGGATGGGGGTGCCAGAATCATCGCCCAACTCAGTCACCTTTTTCTTGCCTTGAGATGAAGCTTGAACCATCTTCTCCACTGTGGTGGGAAGGTTGGTGAGGACATTTTGCATAGAAGACATCTGTTTGGTGAGATCCGATAGTTGGTTGGAGAGATGCTCGATTTTTTCATCGGAGGTCAACACTCGGGATTGAGATTGAGTATTAGCAGCAGGGGTATCGGGGTGCACCATGGTTCACGGAGGAGAGAAAGGGTAGAGGCAATGGAACCAATTGATAAGAATGGAGAAAAGAAAACAGATAAATGAGAGAGAATAGAGATCTTATTCAAAAATCAAATCAGAGAAGCTCAAATGAGTCTTCCTGCCCAAGCTTCATTCAGCCAAATACATTCTTAGAAGGAAAATAAAGATGATCTCACTCATTCATCAACATGACCTATATAAATCTATTCTCTCTAACAGAATCACAACTGCCCCAATTGTTCCCCTCCACGTGGCTTTGGCCTCCTCCTATAAACTTTCCATGTGCTAAATTTGTTAAATTGTTCCAGACCAGTGGTCCCAGTAGCAACTTCCCTATCAGGCCCTAACTCTATGGACCCTCTGGTTCTAAATCTGTGAACCTTTCGGTTCTAACTCTGATATACTCTGATATACACATGGCATAAATCACATAGAAATAATGCAGTGCAACACATCACATAAATATCATACAATAATTTTGTCACATGACTGTAATTACCACTCAAGGTAAAGTATAGTTAGAAGACTCACCTCAGATGTCTCGGTAAATCTCTGACTCGGTAGAAATACGATCTAGCCTCCACCTAATCACATAAAGTAATACTCTCATAAATATAACTCTCAGGACTAGACTAAACCCTCTCTTGGCACCCTCAGAAGGGTAAAAGACCATTTTACCCTTCCTTTGCCTCAAAGGCCCTCATTGTTGACCAAACCCTAAAAGTCAACCAAAGTCAACGGTCAAACTTTGACCCGACTCGTCGAGTGCACTTGGGAAACTTGGCGAGTTTACACGTGTCCACTAACTCCCTAGTCTCGCTTGGCATGTCGAGTCCCTCCCTTTGCTCGACAAGTCACACCTGGCATGAATCGCGGGGCTACCCCAACTCAACTCGCCGAGTCTCAAGAACAACTTGGCGAGTTCCGCCTTGAACCCCAACCCTCTAATCCCTCTCTAACTCACTGAGTTATTCCCCTAACTCGGCGGGTCTACTCGCTGAGTGATTTACGGGAAACCCTAACCCTACTCGCCGAGTCTGCATTGGACTCGGCGAGTTACTGCCATGCACAAACTCAATTGACCTCCTGAGGTCAGATCTGTTCCTTTGGTCCATAGATCTGACCTTCCAAGCCTGATAAACACGTAAAGCTCGAATCTTGACACTCATGGGACGTCTAAAAGGTTCCACTTGGTGATTTACCCCCAAAAATAACATCCTAAGTTCATGGCTCCCAAAATAACCCATAAAGATCGAAGGGTTAAGGTCTCTGGACCTCTTTGAGTCCAGATCCAAGGCATAAACTCGAGAAGGGACCAATTGCTCCACATATCCATTCTCTAAAGGGGTTAGAAAACCCTAACTCTAAGAATCAACACCAAATCTGAAAAAGGTCCGAATAAATACCTCAAGATGAAGTCTATAAACTCTGAAATCACCAGAACCGCTCCTCCTTCAGCCTCTTCTTGCCTTGGTCACCTCCTTCTTGCAATCACACCAACAAAATGATCAAAAGTGGCCTCTCCTTCTTCACAATCGCTCTAGGTCTCCTAGGGTTTCTCTCTAGGGTTTAGTAGCCGCAAATGACGGCCCTAAGGGCCTTTAAATAGGTCCCAAACCCGGGAAATTAGGGTTTCATAAAACAGCGTGGACTCGCTGAGTCCACTCATGGACTCGCCGAGTCCAGTTATGATCCCGGAAGAGAATCCGTGACCCTACTCGGCGAGTCTAAGCACCAACTCGCCGAGTCCCTCCACAAACTCCAAAATAAATGAATAAAATAATATACATGAGAATCCGGATGTTACATAGGGGCTGACGATAATACATTAAAAATTGCCTTAGAGTTTAGATTACCATTACAGACACTTGATATGGTAATTAAAATACGTTAGGATCGTTAAATATCCTAAAAAGATAGTAAATTAGGATTAATGAAAGATATCTTAATTAAAATATGCTAGGATCGTTAGATATCCTAAAAAGATATAATAAATTAGAATTAATAAAAGATATACTAATTAAAATATGTTAGGATCGTTAGATATCCTAAAAATATAGTAAATTATGATTAATAAAAGATATCATAATTAAAATATGTTAGAATCGTTAGATATTGTAAAAAGGTATAGTAAATTAGAATTAATAAAATATCTTAATTAACATACGCTAAAATCGTTAAATATCTTAAAAAGATAGAAGTTAAGTTAATAACTAAGAAATGTTTTCTCAAAGAAAAAGATTCTTAAAAAGAAAAAAAAAACTCGTGCACTCACTAACATTATGTTGATTTTCAAAATACTTGTATTATCACGAAGATAAGTATGGAGGAGTGTCACACTAGTAAAAATGAGGTGTGAAATGGAGTTGTTGAAGTTTAGTATCGTTTGTTTTTAGGAGTTTGTGTCTGTTTAAAAAACAATGTAATCCTTTAAAAAATCAATAATAAATAAATGTTTAAAATATACCTTTGTGTTTGATTGTACATGTTGTCAATATCCAATTATCTCTACATCGCACTGACCGGTGTTTCCGCCAACGGCTAGACAAGATTTGACATCACACATGGGGTTGTGCCTCATACCGGAAAACCTTATGTATTTGGTACTTGGTAGGTCCAATCCTCGGTTCTCAAATAAGCTAAAAGAACCCGGTATCGGTTTCGTCTCTTTGCTTGAAGGAGTAGATCAGCAGATTTAATTATTATTTAGAGTTGATTTATTGATCATGTGATTCTTTTCTCCATTTCATAATTTCTTGGTTTGTGAAAGCAGGATGCATTCATAAGGTCCAAGCCCAACCCACAAGTTTAAATGAACAGCCCAAATCCCCAACTTGCATCCGATTATTAAGACAATGGGCTAAATGCTCCATTGAAAAAAGGTGTGACGTGGGTGATGAAGATCCACGTGTCAAAACTTGCAAATTACGATCCACATCCATCAAACGGCGGGATATTCAGCGAAACTTTTTATTTTCTCCCGCTCTCTGTTCGAAATCGAAAACAAAAAAATTGAATACAGCTGTAAAATCCCCTTTTTACCCTTGCCGTCATTCATTTCATTCCAATCACTATCCATATACTCCTTCCCCGAGAAGCTTTGCATTTCGTTCATCTATCCCTGCGATTCATTCATCTCATGCTTTCATCAGTTTCTCATCGACGATCTGTAGTTTCATCGCCTTCAATCTTCCGGATTTCAGTCTCTTTTCAAACCACCATCACTTTTCCCACGTCTGGTGAACAAGTTGGGAAGAACGATGGAAAACCATCAAAATTCGCCGTTTGACCGTCCATCTCAAGTCTTCCGTGGCATTCGCTTTGTTCTTCTTGGTTTCGATTCTATCAACAAAGCTCAGGTTCAAAATAGTTTTTTTGGTTATTGATTTGTTCATACCTTTCACATTGCTCAGTAAGATGGCTTGATGGAGGATATGTTGTTGGAGACTACCCGTCTTAACAAACTTGTGTTCATTTTATTAGTATTTAATTGCTACCACGAGGTATCGGAAGAAATTCGAACTTGGACTTATCGCTTATTATTTTGAATTATATTTACAGGTTTCACGGAGGCTTGTTAATGGCGGAGGCATTGATGCTGGTGTATATGGTCCCAATTGCACTCATGTTATTGTCAATAAGCTTGTCTATGTAAATTTACCACCCCTCGTTATGTCAATTCTCACCTCCCCGGATTCCTCAATTTGTATTTCATGTGCTTTTTCTTGTATTAGGCTACCGGAGTCCGTTTTTCTTATCCGGTTTCAGCTATTGATGATTTAACTATAGATATGTTTGTGTTGTATGTTGCAGGATGATCCCGTCTGTGTTGCTGCCAGAAGAGATGGGAAGATATTAGTCTCTGGCCTATGGGCTGATCATAGCTTTGACGTTGGAGTACCTGTGGATCCAACCTCGGTAATTACATTTACCCCCATCCAATTTGCGAACAATCAGATACACCCTTCCACCATATGCACTTAAAATTAGTTCTTAGAGGTTCCCTGAGATTCAAAAAGGGAGGACAGCTTATTATGATCTTTTCCACGATATGAAAATCGAAAAAAACCATTGCAAATTTTTTGCAGCACTGATACTGGTTCTAATCACAGGTAATGTACAGACCAGTGAGAGATTTGAACGGGATTCCAGGTGGAAAGTCACTAGTTATATGTTTAACAGGATATCAACGTGAAGATCGCGAAGACATTATGGTTTGCCTATATCTGATCTGCTATCTGTACTCAAACATTTTTAGTCAACAGAATAATGGCTTTATATCATCTGAAAATTTTCCCATTTTTTTTTTTATTACAGACCATGGTTGATTTGATGGGTGCGCAGTTTTCAAAACCACTGATAGCAAACAAGGTTACTCATCTTATATGCTACAAATTTGAAGGTGTCATATGTTCTCTTCTTGGCTATACTTCTTTCTTTTTGTCTTTTGGTTATCTTTTTAGATGAAAGATCAAGTTTTTTTTCGTTGATAAACTATGAATGGCCCTCCAGCATTTGCATTTTTATATTGGCATGCCTAGTGTTTAAGATTTTTGAGGTTTTATCAGGATAGATGTTGTTAGGTCCTATTTGTCACCTGTTTATGTAATTTGTATGTTATGGTAAATTGTTATTTTTCAATTTGATAGGAGAGAAGTATCTGCTTGCAAAGAAAATGAAGAGGATAAAGCTTATCAACCATCGATGGTTAGAAGACTGGTATGCATCTTGTTTGTTTACCTTTTTTTATAATTTATTTGTTTAATTCATTATACTGTAAGCTTCTATAAAGTTCAAGTTTCTGACCTTGATTTCCCCTCTTCATTTTCCAGTTTAAAGGCATGGGAGATTGTCCCAGAAGCAGATTATACCAGAAGGTGAGACTGAATTTTTCTGTCAATTGTATATGTATGCACATCTTATATAAAATAAATCTTTATAGTTATTCATTGAAATGCTTTTTTGTTTTAAACTACAGTGGTTATGAGCTGGAGATGGAGGCTGAAGCCAAAGATTCTGAAGATGAAGCAGAAGGGGTTGCTACTGGACTTACCGAAGTGAAGAAGGAAAGTCCATATCATTCGATGATGTTAAAGCAGGATGTTTCAACAAGTCTACAAAATACTAGTGCTTCTAAAGGGTTTGAAAATGCAAATGACAATGTGTCAGTGACTTTGAAGACCACATCTGATCAATTTCTTAATCCCATCAAAAATGTTATTGGTCTTACATGTGAGCCATCCAATCTATTTAAAGGAACTACAAGTGGTTCAGCATTCAAGAAATCTCCTTCAAACGAATCAAGAAATGTCATGTCTTCAATTTACTCTAGGAAACTGCCAATGGGAACCACACCTCCGACAACAGACACAAGTGATATGAACAGTGCTAAAAGACCTGATAAGATTAATTTGAGTAACGCCTTCAATATGTCTTCACCTTTTGTAGAAAAAGAGGAGCAAAATGGATCAGCTTTTGGTAAGAGGAAGATGGAGATTTCTTCTGGTAGTTCTAAACTACAAAAAACGATTCACAATGAAGACACATTGAATAGAGAGAGTCTCCATGTGGAAAGCGTATTTCAAGAAAAGGAAAAGAATCCCTCTACTGAAATGAGCAACCATTTATCACTGGGGACTGGCATCCCTTATGTAAGTGATAGATCTCCTGTAAGTCCTGCACAAAATGTCCCCTCCAACAGTGGAAAGAAGGTGTTAAGTTCTAAGGGTAAAAGTGTAACTTGTGATGAAATTTCTACCCCACCTGTACAAGACAAAGGCTTTGATGAAGAATTGAAGGAAGCCAGTGTAGCATCAAAGTGCAGAGATGTTGATATGTTACTACAATCTGAATTTGAAATACCTGAAGCTCAGGAGCCAGAACATGTGATGCAAAGTCTTGAGAAATCATCTCCTTCTGCAGCAACTTGTGATATTGAGAAATCAAGTACTCCAAACTTGGAGATTAGTGAACAGAGTGCTGGATCAGGCTCAAAATCTGTGAGAAGGAAGTCGATTGCCAAGAAATTTTTGGCCCCTAAACAGAATCTAGGTAAAAAGAAGACTGTGGATCAGAAAGGTTCTATTTATCTACAAAACATTGAGCCACAGAATGATGGAGTTGATGTTCAGGGAGTAGGTGATGACAAGAATCAAAGTAATGAAAAAGTTGAAGATGCTTCAGAGATAGAGAAGGAGAAGATGGATGATGAAACTGAGTCTCCAGAGGATAAAGAGGAGCATGGAGCACATAATGTTGATATAGTGATGGAAGAAAATGCACATGGTGATGATGTAAATCAAAGTAATGAAAAAGTTGAAGACGCTTCAGAGGCTGGGAACTTGGTTTCTGTGAATGTGGACAAATCTAAAGCATTGAGAGAGAAAAAACTTCCTTCAACCAAAAAGTCAAAGAAAAAAGCAGCAGCTGTTTCAGTCAAAGATGCAAGTGATAAGAAGGAAGTTGAAATTAGGGAAGAAGCAACTCCACCTCCACTTCGAGCTTCTAAGAGAAGCAAGAGAAATGTAAATGATTTGCAGACAGCAGAAGAAGGTGTTTGTAAGAATGATGACAGCAGCACTGAACATGTGTATTCAGCATCTGAAAAGGAAAAGGAAAAGGAGGATAAGGTTCAGGGAGAGACAGAGAATGTGAAGGACAACAAGGCAACTAAAAGCAAAACTAAGAAAGATATTGGTCTTTCTAATTCTGTCAAACAAGCAACCGAAACAAAAACTGTTAACAAGAAGAAGGGTAAACCAAGTTCCAGATCCTGTGATTTGGAAGCACAGAAGGAAAATATTCAAATTCCAGTTGAAAATAAAAACAAACAGAAACAGAAACAGGCCTTAAAATCTGAGAAAATTACCCCTAAGACTACGCAAGTGAACTCAGAAGAACCTAAGTGGTTTATATTGAGTGGACATAAGTTGCAAAGACGTGAGTTCCAGCAGATGATTCGTCCATTAAAAGGGAAAATATGCAGAGTCTCTCACCAATGGTCTTATCAAGCAACTCATTTCATCGTCCCTGATCCCATACGCAGAACAGAGAAATTCTTTGCTGCTGCTGCATCTGGAAGGTAAACAACAAACATAAAACATCTCTTGAGTCTTTACTCTTTACCTTGCTTTGTGGTTGGTTCTAAGTTTTAACCTAACTTGACAGTTGGATTCTCAAGACTGATTACTTATCTGCAAGTAACGAGGCAGGAAGATTCCTAACAGAGGAGCCTTACGAATGGCACAAGAACGGCCTAAGTGAAGATGGTCAGATTAACCTGGCAGCTCCAAGGAAGTGGCGCCTTTTGAAGGAGAAAACCGGACATGGTGCTTTTTATGGAATGCGGATTGTCATATACGGAGAATGCATTGCACCCACTTTGGTAAATTTTCAAAAAAAAAATCTTGCTTACACATCATAGCAAAGCAAATTCTTCTAAGATGTTTTTTTTTTTTTTTTTACAGGACACTCTTAAACGGGCAGTGAAAGCTGGAGATGGGACCATAGTGGCGACTTCCCCACCATACACCCGCTTTCTAGACACTGGTATCGACTATGCCATTGTGAGCCCTGGCATGCCACATGTGGATATATGGGTTCAGGAGTTCATAAAACATGAGATACCGTGTGTCTCGGCTGATTACCTTGTGGAATATGTATGCAAACCTGGGTATCCTCTTGAATCGCATGTCCAGTATGATACAAATGTTTGGGCAGAAAGGTCATTTAACAATCTCAAGAACCGGTGTTTGACCATCGAAGAAGAAGAAGAGTCGATGGGTCCCACAACACCTGAGCGCAGTGATGTGGCGTGTGAGGTATGTGGATCACGTGACAGAGGTGAAGAAATGTTGATGTGTGGGAATGAAAGCGGTTCGATTGGATGTGGTGTTGGGATGCATATCGATTGTTGTGATCCACCGTTTGAAGATGTTCCTGAGGAGGATTGGTTTTGTCCCAATTGTAGCAATCCCAAGATTACAGTTGCTAATAATTCCAAAAAGACCACCAGAAAAAGGAAAGCCAAGTAAACTTAACTGCCATTTTTATTTTATTATTATTATTATTTTTTTTAAACCTACCGTTTTGTATATTGTTTTGACATGTAGATATTGTTAGTTAAAGCTTTAGTTGGATATTAAAGTTAAGTGTCAATTAGCGTCTCTCCTTTTGTTCCTCTTTTCTCTACTGTATAGTGGAGTTGTAAAACTTCATTAGCTTGATTTGCTTTCAAAAGTTTAGAAAACTGAGTGAATCGGATTGCTTTTGTTTAATGGATGAATAATATGTACTTGAGATATTAGTTCATCATAATATTAGTTTCTACTAGGTAGAAACTTGTGTGCTATACGGATGGTTCACAACTCCAAATCGTAAAAATAACAAACAATATATTTACTTAGTAACCATGTATAAAAGAGTGAAACATTAGTAACTATTTATTTTTAAAGTTTAAACACAAATTATAAGCTAATTTTTAAGAGAAATTAATATTTCGGTTTATTGGAAATATATTTACTTATAAATATAAAAAAAGATGCTCTTACTATATCAAAATAACAATTTGATATTTAAACTAAATAGAAACAAAAATCTATCTTCTTAATATATATGTTACAAAATGTATAATTTATGAACAACTTAAAGGTTTAAAGCGGTCGACAAACATAAAAGCCAAAGTTTATGAGTACAAACGCAAAGATTTGCGAGTTTCCTCGTTGAAGTAATGCTTTTGACCAACTCCATGTTGATTCATATGATTAGACTTGGAGGAATATGATAAATACCGATTTGAGATGGTAATTCTTCCGAGAAAACAGACAAGATAGAGCAATTTTCTGATAATTCATTCACGACTTCAAAATGGAAATTACATCAAATTAAACATGCAAACTCTTAACTAAAAACTAGGAATTAGAAATGGTCATGGACCTTATGCCAACTACTAACATGAACTAAAAATTAGCCATTGATACTAAAATTAAGGAATGACTTAATCAACTTTGATTGACTCTCTTGCACGTCATTAGTCCTTGAATCGAGCGGGCTTTCGGATAATGCTCTTGGGCCTTTAATGGTCTTCGACTGGACTGTTATGCAGTAGGCTTTATATCAAATGCCCCCGTCTTTGCAACAAGCTCGTCCTCAAGTGATGGAATGGTGGTGTTGCTAGGCTCTTCCCACTATGGAATTGGAGTTGGTGTTGGATTTCCATAGGCCTGTCGAAGCAAGGAAACATGGAAGACATGGTGAATCTTAGCTTTTGGCGGTAACTGTAGGCAGTACGCGACTTGTCCGATTCGTTCAATGATTTTGAATGGTCCAAAGTATCGTTTGGTTAGTTTCTTTGTATTGCGATCGTGGATAGTATTTTGATGATATACTCTGAGACGAACGTAGACCATGTCACCCACGTGAAACTATTTATCGAGTCAGTGTGAATTTGCCAAAGATGTCATGCGTTGTTGAGCCATGAGAAGATTTTCTTTCAAAACAGTGCGGAGTCTTTGGTGTTCTTTGAGTGCTGCATCGATTAAGGTTGTGGTTGCAGTCCCAGCATGATAACGATTGAGGTCTGGAACACGTTGGCCGTAAAGAGCTCGGAATGGTGTCATGGCGATGACACTATGATGTGATGAATTGTACCAAAATTCAGCGAGATACAAGAATTTCGACTAAGTGTGAGGTTCATCACTAGCAAAAGCACGAAGGTAGTTTTGGAGGCATGTGTTTACCACTTCTGATTGGCTATCAGATTGCGGATGATACGCAGTGGAGTACTTCAATGTTGTGCCTAAATGCTTGAATAGTTCCTTCCAGCATGAGCTGAGGAATATGGAATCGCAATATGAGACTATGCTTTTGGAATGTTATGGAGCTTATAGATGTTGGTGAGGAATAGAGATGCTAGTGTAACTTTACCAAAATTGGTAGGCAAAGCAATAAAATGAGTAGTTTTGGAAAAGCGATCCACTATTACCCATATAGTTGTTTTTCCTGTAGACAAGGGTAAGTTAGTAATAAAATCCATTGTTATGTCTTGCCAATTGCTATGTGGTGGATGGGATGGGCAGAGGTTGAAGGAACCCGTAAGGTTTGTATGTTGGGGTTTTTATTTGTTCATAGGTGGTATAGTTGTGAATGAACAAGGTGACATCTGGTTTAAGCATGGGCCAAACAAAGGTGGATGAGATGCGTTTGATGGTTGGGAGGATGCCTAAATGACCCCCGACGGGTGTGGAATGGTACTTATAGAGCAGTTGTTGTTGAATTGTTGTTCCTTCAGGTATGTAGAGGCGATGATTGTGGTAGAGTAGCCCGTTGTGGACGTGGAAGTTGGTGGATCCTTCTGTTTTTTGGAGTATCTTTTAGGGGAGTGATCCGCCCTTGCTTGTGGTGTAAAAAGTTCAAAATTCGGCAAGCCATGATGGATCTGTAGTTGAGATTGCAAGAAGGTGTGGTTGGTCGATGCGACTAAGGGCGTCTGCAACAATGTTTTTTTTTTCGGGTTTGTAGATGATCTCAAAATCGTATATGAGAAGCTTCGTTGCCAACTTGTATTGTTCGGGGGTTTGGAACACCTGAGATAGTAAGTGTTCTAGACTTTGTTGGTCTGTGTAGATGTGGAATTTGTGATCAATCAAATATTGACGCCACTTTTTTACTTCCTCTGTGATAGCGAAGAGTTCCCGGACGTAGGCGGATGCCACCTGCATGCGTGGGCAAAAGTGTTTACTGAAGAATGCAATAGGATGAGCTCCCTGGGATAAATGTAACACCCAAAAATCAAGCCAATTTAATACTTTTCAAAACATTTAAAACCAACAGTTATTACAGATTTGTTTTCAAAATATTCTATATAAGAGTTTTTCCCAGAAACATAAACAAAACATGAGGAGTTGTACGATCACGCCTTCGCCTTGCCGCGATCCCCTGATGTACCTGAAACAATAAACTGAAACTGTAAGCCCGATAGCTTAGTGAGTTCCCCTAAAATACCGATACACTGCACATAATACATATACAAATAACAACATATACTGAGTCCACAACGTTACAGACTGGATTACCCCCTGGGCCCACAGTGTGAGTCTGGATTGCCTTCCGGGCCCACAACTTACATCTGGATTGCCACCGAGCCCACAGTACGAGTCTCCCTCAGCTCGTATCTGGAATGCTCTCGGGTTTGTTGGTTACCGCACGGAGCAGTATCACCTCAACCCATCCCACATAATATGTCGACATATAATACAACTAATGCACATATAGATAATCACATGATACTACAGGCAGTCCTACAGATCTACCTAATTGGCATAGCAACTAACATGCAACACTAACTCATACTTAACATACTACCAACTGCTAGGAATTCATATCCAATGGGCCGGCCTTGGTGCCATAGACCCCTTAGTATAGTGAGGATAACTCACCTCACACTGTCGACTCGAAGATAAACTCAAGCTCTCAGATTGCCGGCTTAAACTCCATCATATATATTCACCACAGAACCATACTTGTAAATTTCCAATTTCCCAAAAATGTCCACAGAAGCCCACTGGTCAACCCTTGGTCAAAGTCAAAGTCATCGGTCAAGGTCAACAGTCCATGTTGACCTCAACTCGCCAACTCGCCGAGTCACTAGAGTGACTCGTCGAGTTCCTAAGGTTTGCGGTCGTAAAATCTTTGGAATGACAAGAGGCTGTAAAGGGGAGGTTGGGGAGGCCAATGATCCTTTAAATAGGATGCAAAACCCTGTAAATTAGGGTTTCATCTGCCAGCTCCTACTCGTCGAGCCCCTTCTTGGACTCAACGAGTAGGTTACTTAAGCACGTGGACCAACCAGCTGCTACTCGACGAGTAGGGCAACCAAATCGTCGAGTAGACCTTGAAATCAAGAAAAATCTTCTATCAAAATCAATACCTGAGAATCGGGGCGTTACAATAAAACCTCCCTAATTGCAATGGTGGATGCATCAGTGGTGACATCGAAGGGTTTTGTGAAGTTAGGAAGCGTGAGGGTGGTGAGGGAAGCCATGTCGATTTTAAGCTGATGAAATGAGGTTTCGGATTTGGTGTTCCATTTGAAGGAACTTGTTCGGAGAAGATCAGTAAGGCCTGCAACGATTGTGGCGTAACTCTAGACGAACCGCCAATAGTACCCTGTAAGTCCAAGAAAACCACGTAACTGTGTTAGATTCTTTGGTTGCGGCCAATTTTGGATTGCCACAATCTTTTGGGGATCTGATTGGACTCCTTTAGAGGTGATGATGTAGCCCAAGTAACTGATGGTATCAATTGCGAAATATATTTGGATTTTTTCCCTTGAAGTGATGTTGAGTTAGCTTGAGAAGGACATGTTCGAAATGGTAATAATGATGGGTAAGAGACGAACTATAGATCAATATGTCGTCAAAAAAGACAAAGACATATTGGTGAAGGGCATCACAAAACAACTTGTTCATTGTTGCTTGGAATGTAGACAAGGCGTTAGAGAGCCCGAAGGGCATTACAAGAACTTGTAATGGCCATCGTTGGTTCTAAAGGCCGTTTTGTGGGTATCTTCGGATGCCACCAAGATTTGGTCATACCCAGTGTGCAAGTCGATTTTAGAGAACACCGAGGCTCCATGAAGCTCATCCAAAAATTCATCAATGGTGGGAATGGGAAATGGTCTTTGACTGTAATAGCATTAAGACCGCGATAATCAACACAAAATCTCTAGGTGCCATCTATTTTGCGTACCAAGAGAACTGGAGATGAATACAGACTGGTACTAGGAGTAATTGTAACACCCAGAATCGGAAAGACCAAGAAGAGAAAGGAAAAACTCTAAGTCAAAAGTCAACTCGTCGACTCCAGGGAGGAACTCGATGAGTCGGAGCGGGATCCGAGCATAGAGTAAGAGACCAACTCGGCGAGTCGGCTATTGGACTCGGTGAGTCTGGTTTGGGCGAGAAAAACCCTAATCCCTAGGGTTGTGCCCTATTTAAAGAACATTACATCCCTTTGTTAGAACAATGTTCTATCAGGATCGTATGATTCTAAGCAAAATATAAATAAGAACGTAATGAAGAACACAAGTATTGCACTGAATATGTCGAATGATTAATGCAAA